GGCCCCAGTGGCTGCATTCGCACGCTGTCACCCCCATCAGTTCGGCACACCCCTCACACGTCTCGTAGCCCCACCTGGAGCCCCACCTAAGGCCCCAGTGGCTGCGCCCGCATGTTTTCTCCCGCGTCTTCCGGTGCCTGTCAGCCCCAACGGGTTACATCAGCATGTAACTCGTTTCGTCTGAACTGCGCACCCTTTGCGGGCGGCCCCAATGGCAGCGCCCGCATGCCGGCCCCGCCCCATTTCGGCGTTCCTTTTTTGCGTAAGATTGGGTCATTGAGATTGGGTCATTCGCCAGGATACTGGTTTACATCAATATTTCTCCCTGGGTACAGATTCATTCATACTTATATCATCATCATCATCACACTCGTCGTCGTCAGTGTTCTCGCCATCATCATCACCATCACCATCATCATTTTCCGCATCATATTCACCAGCATCATTCTCATCACCACCACCAGCATCATGATCAACAGCATGGGCAATACCATCGTTATCGCCATCACCACCGTTATCGTCAGCAGCATCATCAGCAGCAGCAGCATCACTATCATCAATGTGCTCGCGTGTGTGAACCTCTGTGTGAATGTATACATATATATATATATATATATATATATATTGTAGTGGCCTTCGGCCAGTGCCGCCGATCTGGGTCGCTTTGGGTCTTGGGTGTCCCTCGGACTGGGCGCCGACACTTCGCCGACAGACACACGCACACGCTCGCAGACATCACGCGCACACACGCACACACACGCACACACACAGACATTCTACACACATACGCACCGACACACACACACACACCACATTCACACACGCGCGCCACATTCGCAGGCACATACACGCGCACACGCTGGCAACACACACACACACATACACACGCCACGCAGACCACGCAAACACACACACACACAAACACACACCCACGCACACACACACACACACACACACACACACACGCACGCACACACACACACACACACACACACACACACTAACACACACACACACACCACACCACACACACACACACACTCACAACGGAAAGGCATTTCACCACCACCTTCGTCTTCCCTCCCATTCGTTTCCTGTTTTCCGCTCTTGTCCCGTTCCATTTCTGTCTCCCTCTTTCCCCGATTCCTTTGTCGCACACACGGACTAATAACAGTACCCCACGCACACGCGCACGCCCCCCCTTTTCTCCTTCCCCGGCAGGGCCACCCCGGCAACCCCCCAGAGGCTGAAGCTCAGCCTCGAGGCTGTAGCTGATGCTCCCCCAAACTCACACGCCACGGAACCCCCCGTTCCCCTTCCCCACGCCATCGGAACCCACGCCACCAGACCCTCCCCCTCTTCCTTCAGTTCCCCCTGTCCACTCCACAGGCGGGACGGGGAACCGACCCCCCCCCCCACGCCACCGGAACCCACGCCACCGGAACCCTTCCCCCCCCGTCCCCCTACCCCGGCAGAGCCCCCCCAGCCACCAGAATCCCCCCCCTCCTCTTTCCTTAATCCCCCCTGTCCACAGGCGGGACGGAGGACCCGACCCCCCCCCCCACGCCACCGTAACCCACGCCACCAGACCCCCCCCCTCCCCTCCCCCTACCCCAGCAGAGCCACCCTGGTCACACCCTCGCCCTTAAATTGACGCGGCAGATCGGCGGATATGTATGTGTTTATAGGTATTGCAAGGCCCATCCATTGTGATCAACCCGAGCCCTTTTTGGGGCTATCGCTCCCTTTCGTGATTTGTCGTTCTCTCTCTCTCTCTCTCTTTTCCTCTCGCTCTCTATCTCTCTATGTCTCTCTCTCTCTCTCTCGCTGTCTTTCTTCCCCCCCTCTCTCCTTGTCGGTGTCTGTCTCACTCCATGTTTTGTTCCCCACCATCCTGTGGTGTTGGGTCATCGTTTTTAAGAGACGGCCCCCGCGTCCCCACCTCTCCTATCCTCTTCCCCTCCTCCCGCCCCTCCCTCCTCCCACCCGTCTTCCCCTCCTCCCGCTCCTTCCTCCCACCCTTGCCTCTGCCTTGTGCATGTCAACCAGTTCGGCATGCCCGTCACCCCCTCTCAACTTGGCACACCCCTCACACGTTTCGTGGACCCATGGGGAGCTCCACCGAAGGCCCCAGTGGCTGCGCCCACATGCCGCCACCCCCATTCACTTTGGCACACCCGTCACACGCTTCGTGACCCCACAGGGATCTCCACCGAAGGCCCCATTGGCAGGCCTCTCACGCGCTTCCTGGCCACATTGGGGGCACCACCGAAAGCCCCAGTGGTGACGCTCGCACGCGTCCCTCGCGCCCCTTTTCGGCATACCCGTCACACGCGCCGTGGTCAAATAGGGAGCTACACCGAAGGCTTCTGTGGAAGTGTTCGCTCGCGTCCCCCGCCCCGCACTCATGCAGGCAGACCCTTCTCACAAGTCGGCACACCCTTCGCACGCTTCGTGGCCTCATGGGGGGGGACTCCACCGAAGGCCACAGTGGCGTTCGCATTCGCCCCCCCCCCAGAAAGAAACGTTTCGGCACGCCCCAACGATGATGTTCGCAGGCGTCACCCCGCCCACTTCTGCACACCCCTCAAACGTTCCTCGTGGCCCCACAGGGGGTTCCACCGAAGACGGCGCTCACAATTGCGACCTTTCGCCAGGCTAGTTTCTAGTGCTTCTGTTGAGTGGCATGTTTTTGTGGGCTTCTGGCCCCGCGCGCCCGGTTCGGGCGTCTACCTGGGGGGGGAGGCGGAGGCGGCGTTGGGGGGGAGGGAGAGGACGCAGAGCACCAACAAAGACACTAGCCTGACAAAAGGCCCAACCATATGCAGCTGCGAGTGCCGCATTGTGGGCACCGCTTTCGGTGGAGCTCCTTATGGGGCCACGAACAGCGTGAGGGGCGTGCCGACCTGGGCACGGTGGTGCCATGCGAACCCTCCCACTGGAGCCGCCGGTGGAGCATCCTCTGGGGCCACGAACCGTGTGAGGGATGTGCAGAATTGGGTGCGGTGGTGCCATGCGAACCCTTCCACTGGAGCCGCCGGTGGAGCATCCTCTGGGGCCACGAACCGTGTGAGGGATGTGCCGAATTGGGTGCGGTGGTGCCATGCGAACCCTCCCACTGGAGCCTTCGGTGGAGCTCCCTATGGGGCCACGAACCGTGTGAGGGGTGTGCCGACATGGGCATGCGGTGGGCGGGGAGGGCGCATGCGGACGCGGCTACTGGGGCCTTGGGTGGAGCTCCCTATGGGGCCACGAACCGTGTGAGGGGTGTGCCGAAATGGGCATGCGGTGGGCGGAGAGGACGCATGCGGACGCGGCTACTGGGGCCTTTGGTGGAGCACCTAATGGGGCAACGAGCCCTGGGAAGGGTGTGTCAGAATGGACACGCGGTGGGCAGGGAGGGCGCATGCGGACGCGGCTACTGGCGCCTTGGGTGGAGCTCCGTATGGGGCAACGAGCCCTGGGAGGGGTGTGCCGAAATGGGCATGCGGTGGGCGGGGTGGACGCATGTGAACGCGGTCACTGGGGCCTGGGGTGGAGCTTCCTATGGAGCCACGATCCTTGTGAGGGTTGTGCCAAAATGAGCATGCGGTGGGCGGGGTGGACGCATGTGAACGCGGCCATTGGGGCCTTGGGTGGAGCTCCCTATGGGGCCACGAACCGTGTGAGGGGTGTGCCGAAGTGGACATGCGTTGGGCGGGGTGGACGCATGTGAACGCGGCCACTGGGGCCTTGGGTGGAGCTCCCTATGGGGCCATCGCACCGTGTGAGGGGTGTGCCGACATGGGCACGCGGAGGGCAGAGTGCCGAAATGGACATGCGGAGGGCAGCGGCACGCATGGGAGGAGGGAGGAGGGGGAGGAGGAGAGGAGGAGAAGGAGAACGCGGAGCGTTGTCTCTTCAAAACGAGGACCCAGCACAGGATGGTTGTGAATTTGAGCACATCAGAACAATTGGAACAGCATGGAAATCAAAGCTCCTAGGCACACAAATCAACAACATCAAGGCCCCGGCTGGCTGTTGGCTGGTTGTCGGAAAGGAAACATTGAGAAGAGTTCCGTGTTGTTTGGGTGATCTGCCAAAAACCAGTCGGCGCATTGATTTCGTTGATGTGTTTGGTTGGGGGCTATGGTTTTCATGTGGTTCCCGCACCCAGCTCGGGCGTCGCCCTAGGGGGGAGGTGGAAGCTGGAGGCGGGGGTAAAGACGCCAGAAACCCACAAACACAATTGAACCAGTCATATCAACGTGGAATAATGAAAATCACACCCCCATGCAAAACAAACAAACCAAAGCCCCGATTGGTTTCTGGAAGGGGACCATCGAAAATATCGAAAGTGTGTTAAGGGGGTTCTGTCAAAGAACCGGTTGGTGCAGTGATTCGTTGTTTTGTCAGCTTGCAGGCTCTGGTTTGCATGTTGTTCCTTGCGTGTTCGTTGAGTTTTATATTTTGCTGGTTTCTGCCCCCCCGCGCCCAGCTGAAGCGTCTCCCTGGGGGGGAGGGTGGAGGCTGCGCTGGGGGAGAGACCACGCGCGAGAATCGTTGTCCATCGGAACCCATTGAGAATTTACACCACGGTCGAAAGCCCTGAAGGAGGTTTCTGGTGGGCGTACAAGTGGTAATTTCCGCGCGTGTTCCATCAGTTGTCGCTTTGTCTCAGCGCGCCCAAAACCGCTAAACTTAGAAGCATGCATTCCTTTCCCATCGGCCCCCCTCGATAATTGACTCTACGGCCGAACGCCCTTTCAGGGGGCCTTCATGTGAGCGTGAAGAGGTGAAGTTGTGTGTATATGTTCCATCAAGTTCAGTTCCGTCTCAGCACGCCCAATCTTGTAGACAAAAGCGCGCACTGCTTTCCCGTCGGAACCTCCGTGCACTTGGCACCACGGCCAAGGGCTCTAGCGCGGGCTGCTGGTGACTAGAAGCGGGAAGCATCGACGTCGCGCCACCGTCGATGGCGAGCACTCCCCTTTCCCGCGGGCGAGACCCGCTCGGACAAGATGGCGAAGATCCTGCGCGTTCTGAGCGCGCACCAGCTCGCGCCGAACGCCACGGCGCTCGTTTGGGCCCCTGGGCCGTCGGCCCCTCGAGCCTGCGAGGCGGGCAGAGGGGGCGCCCCAGCTCGAGGACGCGCTCGCTGGCTCGGTCGACGGGGATGACGACGGTACACGCCGGTCGTCGAAAGTAGGTATTTTTGGATGCCCAAATCCTAATCTACTTTAGGCGCCTTCCTACTTCAAGAGTCGAGCGGTTGTCCTTCATTCCTCCGCTTCAGGGGGTGGGCGGAGGTCCAACCTGCTTCCAACGCCTTCCTGCTTCATGTTTCTACCCACTTCTTCCGACCGGCGCGTAGTTTCGCAAGCCCCACGGCGGCATCTGCGGCGACCCACTTCTGCGTGGACTCGGTCGGCCTCTTGTCAGGCGGGAAAAAAACACACAGACACAATGAATCGTCGATTTCCCGGAAAATATGCGAAAATATGGGAAGCGGAGGGGAAGACTAAAAAACCCAAAATATGGGAAAATATGTGGAGTATTTTTATTTGTGTGTCCCAGGGCCCCTTCATCTGGTTCCCGATGTTGAAGAGGCATGAGGGGGGGGGCTCTCTGACTGCCGCCGAGTTCCTCGCAGTCCCGGTGCCCAGAAGTCCTCTCACTGGTTCAAGTTGTCGTTGAATCAGCGGGCGAAGAACGGTATAAAATAGACTTTTTCGCCGTCGGGGACACCTGCCCCTGGGCGCCTGGAAAGTTTATACCCCTACGGCGCCACCGTAAGGGTATAAACTGTCCAGCCGCCCTGGGGCAGGTGTCCCCGACGGCGGAAAAGTTTATTTTATACCGTTCTTCGCCCGTCAATTGAAGATGGAACTCATCGCCGCGCTGTCGAATGCCATCTTTGGGGTAGATGTCATCCATCGGGGCGAGAAGAAGTGCATCCAAGGCTTGGTACTGACGCATTTGGCAAGCTTGCTCGCGGAGAATCTCCCAACGACGTTGCCGGGGGGGGTCATGAAGCCGAAGACGATGATCAAGACGTCCTCTGACCTCGGCGGCAGGGGATACTACTGCGGCGTCTGCGAAGGTGGGCATGGACTTGCGCGCCGACTTCGTCGTCTGCCCGCGATCGTTCGACGAGAAGCTCTCCCGCCTCTGCGCGCAGGCCGCGCAGACGCACGGCATCAACTTCACGACGATTCACAATGACCTGGGGTTGCCGGTCAAGGTGGAGGATTGCCTTCTGAGGAATATTGAGAAGATCTACGTTTATGTTGTTCCAACCTACTTTAGCCTTGATCACCAGGAAGAATTTCGAGCGCCCATAAAAGGACCGAAACTCGAGGGTTTTCACGCGTCGGGTCCTGGGGAGACACTCGCCCGACACTGTTTCGACACTCTTTTGACACTTCTCCGAGTGCTCGAAATTAGTTCTGGCATGTGGTCATCAAGTGGGGTTGGAACAACATGAATCTACGTGGCTCCGCGCACCCGGCTGCCCTGCAGTTTGGCCCTCGCCGGGGAGGTGCCCACCCTCGAGCATCCGGTCGCGAGGGCGGTGAGCGCCACGGACAGGGCCGAGGGCGCCGCGCTCGCCGTCGCGGGGAGGAGGCGCACGTCTCGGGCCGGGCGAAAGGGGGGGATAGGGAAAGGGGGGGTTACGAAATCTGTTGCATGCAGCTGGTTTCGGCCCCACCGAGGGGCCCATTCCTCGATACATGGCCGCCTCCCGGCGCCGGGAGAATCAGCTACGTGAGCTGATTCTCACCCCCCCCCTTTCGCCCGACCCGAGCTTTGGCTGTTAGGACGTACGTCCAGTTAAGCGCGCCTCTCTAGCAAAGCTTCGGCGACAGGCTTGGGGCCAGATCTCGGCTCAGAAGTTCTTTCGCGGAGGGATCTAGGCAACGTTTGCCACCCTCTGCATGCATGGCAAACCCAGGAGCGCTTGCGCGCAGGGACAGAGACAAGCCCAGCCTGCTACCAGGAATTGATCTCCCAGCAGAGAATAGCAGGGATACATTATAGGTTGTTTCGTTGAATTCGGCGCATTGTGAGCGCACAAACAAAAAACGCCCAAACATGCGCCCGCTGACAAATGGCGTCACGGCCAAATTCCCTTGAGGGGCCATCTTGCTGGTATTCAAATGGGGAAGCGCGCATGGTTTCCCTGATTTCTGCGTCTTCTGATGGCGCGAGGAAGAAATACAAAATTTTCCCGGCAAAGCAACCTAACAGCGATGTGAAGGAGCATATCTGGAAGCACTCCCCTTAAGATTCAGATGAGAATCCAGTTGTAGAATTCTGCTGTTCTCGCAGTCGTAGTCGCATTCGCGATGACAGTCGCAGTGGCAACGGCAGTCGCAGTCACAGCCTCAGCCTCAGCCTGCCTCAGCCTCAGCCTCAGCCTGCCTCAGCCTCAGCCTGCCTCAGCCTCAGCCTCAGCCTGCTTCAGCCTCAGCATCAGTCTGCCTTCAGCCTCGGCCTCAGCCTCAGCCTGCCTCAGCCTCACCCTGCATCAGCCTCAGCCTCAGCCTGCCTCAGCCTCAGCCTCAGCCTCAGCCCTCAGCCTGCTTCAGCCTCAGCCTCAGTCTGCCTCAGCCTCGGCCTCAGCCTCAGCCTGCCTCAGCCTCAGCCTGCATCAGCCTCAGCCTCAGCCTCAGCCTGCCTCAGCATCAGCCTCAGCCTCAGTCTCAGCCTCAGCCTGCCTCAGCCTCAGCCTCAGCCTGCTTCAGCCTCAGCCTCAGTCTGCCTGCAGCCTCGGCCTCAGCCTCAGCCTGCCTCAGCCTCAGCCTTCCTCAGCCTCAGCCTGCCTCAGCCTCAGCCTCAGCCTGCTTCAGCCTCAGCCTCAGTCTGCCTTCGGCCTCAGCCTCAGTCTCAGCCTGCCTCAGCCTCAGCCTGCATCAGCATCAGCCTCAGCCTCAGCCTGCCTCAGCATCAGCCTGCCTCAGCCTCAGCCTCAGCCTGCCTCAGCCTGCCTCAGCATCAGCCTCAGCCTGCTTCAGCCTCAACATCAGTCTGCCTTCAGCCTCGGCCTCAGCCTTCGCCTGCCTCAGCCTCAGCCTGCATGAGCCTCAGCCTCAGAAGCCGTTTTGCGCTCAAGCCATTGAGCGTTGCAGGTGCAGGATTCAAAACGGCACTTCGTGCCTGCGAGTCATTCAGCTTCGGAGAGGGCCGTTCCCTCACACGTTCATAATCATTTCGCCGCCATGGGGAAGGGCGGCTATGGCAAGCGTGGCCCTGGAGGTCAGGGAGACAAGGGCGGCAAGGGTGGCAAGAGCTTCCCTTCGGCGGCCGCCCTCGAGCGGGAGTTCGCGCTGTTCGACGGTGGCGGCTCTCCTCCTCCCCCTTGGGCTGCACGCATTCCTGGGCAGCAACAAGATGCTCCTCCAGCCCTCTGGACATGCTCGGCTTGCGGCTGCAGGAAGAACGAGATGCGCTGGTCTCGCTGCAAGCATTGCGGCTCTCAGTGGACCCCGTTCCAGCCATACACGCCCTCCTCCTTCGGCACGCCTGGTGGAGCCTGGTCAGCTGGCTTCAGTGGCAGCCTGCCGTTCTCCCCTTTTGTTGCTGCTCAAGGGCCTCCAGGCACCTTCGCGCTCGGCGACAATGGTGGAGGCAAAGGTGGCAAGTCACCAGGCGGTCCAGTCAAGCCAGAGTCCCTTCTCTCTCGGGAAGAGCATGCGTCTTTGGCGGAGTTGCTGGCCAAGTCTGGCGACGCGCTGGGAGCGGCCAAGCATCGTGAGCTGGCCAAGCCTCCACCTGCGGTCAAGGAGCCCACCCTGCAGCACCAGGTCTCCATGGCCCACAGCAAGCTGCGCGGCCTCGAGCGGAAGTTGCAGGGCGCTGTTCAGAGGTGCGAGGAGTGGTCGGCGCAGATGGTGGAGCAGCGTGCATTGGTCACCAAGTTCACTGAGGAGTACGAGCAGGCCGACGCTGAGCATCGTCGACTTGTGGCCGCCCTACATGCTCAGACGTCAGCGGCTGACTTGCAGAAGGAGCCAGTTGACAAAGCCGTGCCATGTTCGCTGTCTTCGATCATGGACGGGTCCTTCACCGACAAGCTGGTCATCGACCCCTCGGAGCTGCTCGGCGGCGTCGAGGATTTCGAGCTCTCGGAGGCGGACAAGGAGGAGCTCGAGAAGAGGGGCAACCAGCTGCGAGAGGGCATCCAAAAGTTGGCACAGCGTCTTTTCGCGCAGGCCTCCGAGACTGCCAAGAAGATCCAGGAGGCACACCAAGAGCATCTTGGACGCCTGGCCAAGAAGAGGAAGACTGACGAAGGTGCAGCTCCTGGCGATGATGGAGGTGGTGGTGCTGAGGCAGCCGCAGCCGATTCTGCCACTGGTCCTGCGGCAGCAGCTGCGCAGCCTACGGAGGTGGATGCTGAAGCTACCGCTTCTGCTGCTCTACGCCAGCGGGCCGCCAAGATCATTCAGCATGGGCAGCCTGAACAAGACCCTCCCCCTGCTGCCGCGTGAGCTTCAGCAGGGGGGCCTTCATCGTGAACACGTTCAACCCAGCGGCACGCTCACTTGCCCAGCCTGGCACATGTTCTCTCCGTTCCCCTCGGCAGGGGACTTTAATGCTCTGGGCCTCGGCCTTGCACCTTGGGGCGGAGACGAGAGTTGCCCAGGCTGGCAAGTAGAGCCCGCACCCGCTGAAGCTGCAGTCGACGCTCGCCCTCGTGGGCACCTTCAGCCTGCTGCTGACGGAGTAGGGCAGTCTTTTTCTTTCGGAGCCGTGGACCTCGAGGCCTCCGTTCCTCCTGTGCTGCATCCTGGATCCCTGGATTTTTCTGGGGTTGTCTGGACATGCCGTCTTGCCGTGGGAACCTCCAGGGAACGTTCGTTAAAACTGGAGGATCCCCCGAGCAGTACCCACCTTTTGCTCGAAGCAGCTTGGAATCTTTGGCTAGGACGCTCCCCCAGCCTCTGGGGGCACCCGTTTTCGGGACTGGTGAGCTTGGCGCCTCCAGGGCACCATCTTGCTCGGCCTCAGCGTGCAGTCTCAGCTCTTTTGCCTTTCGGCGTTCCCGCTGGACCCCTCCCCATGTGAAGCGACCGTCTGCCTTTAAGAGATCGCACTCGTCGCTCAGTGGTGCCGTCAAGCACACCCTTTGGAGGGCCAAGCGAGTTCTTGCCTCTGGTATCGCCAGCTTTGCACGTGCTGTTCACAGTGCTGCCTCTTGCGAGGCGCATTTTTTCGGGTTTGCCAACCCGTGTGATGAATACCCAGTGCTCGTTGACCTGCAGCCGAGCAGTCCTGTTGAGTTTTTCAGCGGCCCCTCGGATCCTTCGGTGAGTTTCGTCGCCTCGGGTTCCCCTGAGGCCTCTGGAGGCCACTGCTCGGCCCTTCTGGACAGTCTTGAGATTTGCATCCACACGGTGAATTGCAACCGATGGTCGACCATGAAGGAGCTCATGGCCAAGACTCCTGCGCACATTATCTTGCGTCAGGAGCACAGGATGCGAGAGGAGGAAGATCTCTCACAAGCCTCGGCGTGGTGTGCTCGCCAAGGGTGGAAAGGCATCTTTACCGCGGCCCACGGTACCGCTTCTGGTTCCACGTCTGCTGGCACTTGCATCCTTGTCAGAGACTTTCTCGGCCTTCATGAGCCCCCTGGGGGGGCGGTGGTTGCTGTTGGCAGGGCGACTGCTGGCATAGTGCACCTCCCGCGAGGTGATCGTTTCGCTCTCTGCTCGGTTTATCTCCATCACTCTGAAGGGTTGTCTGAGCGTAATGTCGATCTCCTGGCCACTATTGGGGAACGTATGTCGTCCCTTTCTCTTCCGTTTTGTATTGGAGGGGATTACAACATGGATCCAGGCACTTTAGCCAGTTCGAAGTTCGCTGAGAAGTTGGTGGAGCTGCCTGTGGTGGCCGAGGGGCACACTCATTTTGGCGAGGGCCTTCCGTCTTCCCTGGACCACTTTGTGTTTTCGGGGGGTCTTGGTAGAACGGTCAAGAGCTGTGAGGTCGTTCTGGACACTACCTTGAGCCCCCACAGGCCGGTGCAAGTTGCGTTGCATGCTTCGTTCGGCAAGTTGAAAGGTCTCAGCTTCAGGAAGCCCCCTCCTCTCCCTGCCACGGCTGTGATAGGACCGCGTCCTGCACCCCCTGACTGGAGTCTTGTGCGTGAGCTTGCTGACCAGGCCTCCCATTGTGTTGCTGTTGGTGACGCTAGGGGCGCATCGTCGCTTCTTTCGCCTTGTTATGCTGCCTGGGCTGACAAAGCCGAGGCTGAGCTTGTGCCGATTTTGGGACAGTCTGTCCCCTGTCTTGGTTCGAGATCCAAGGGCCCTCAGCTTGTTTGGAAGAAGCTTGTCGGTCGTGATCATGCTATTCGTGATCCTGAACATCATGCTGTGCGGTGGCTCAGCGTCCAATATCGGGCCCTAGCTTCGCTCCTGGATTCGAACCAAGGCGATACTCCTCAGGCGAAGTCGCTGACGACGCTGCTACAGGAGCCTCCGCACCATTTTGAGGTTTCTGCTGCTCTTCGGCCTCTCTTTGATGAGGTTGCCTGTGCTGTCGCCAAGCCTTGTCGGGATCTCTTTGGGGGTAGTTGTTACGACGTGGCTCTTCGGGACAAAATTGACGTTGCGGTCAGCAATGCTCAGTCTGCTGCCAAGAAGAGATCCCGTCAAAGTTGGCAAGCTTGGATTCGCGCTGGCCTGGATGAGGGAGCGAAAAGAGTTCACATGTTTACCAGGGACCCGTCCCCTTGGAAGGCCACCACCACCCTTTCTGCTGATGGCACCATCGTGTCTGATCCCCTGGCGCTTTTAGCTTCGGAAGGTTTCAAGTTTGCCACCTTTTGGG